ATATATATATATATATATATATCAGTAACTTCATACAATATAAATAGAAGTCCAGTTCAGTGAGTCCCGTAGTGAGTCAAATGTAGCAACTGAAGGTGTGCCTTTTGTCACCTAGGGTTTCAGTAGGGCTCTTTGCTTAATGAGTAGGGGAAAAAAAGAGGAGAAAAAATGAACAGAAAATTATAAATGAAAAGGAAAGGAAAACCACCACCATCAACAACCAAGATGCCCAGCCTGCATGCCCCTGCTGCGGGTGGACCAGCACTCACACCGTGGCGCCAGGGGCACTGTGTAGAATGAGCAGCAGTGATTCCCTACCATGTGTCTGCATTTATGTTCTTTTGTTTGTTTCTGAATTTTTTAATCCATAAACTCCTCTCCCAGGGAAGCCAATGAGGCACTTACTTGATGCTGCCATCACTACTTTCTGCTGCTGCTGTGGGTTTGCTGAGGGGAGCCAGGATGCTGCCTGGGACCCAGCCCTCAGCTGCGGGTGAATGGTCGCTGGCAGGCTGGTACACCAGGCACATGTTCTGCTGATTGACGGCTAGGACCTGGACCACTTCCCCTTGGCTCACACAGATTTCATTTTCCTTCAGTGCATAGTAATCTTTGATCACAGCCATAGACGAGGTCCCATTGCAGCCCCCCAGGTCGTTCTGCTAGGAGAAAAAAGCATATGGGGGACCAGACACAAGGAGGCTGATTCACAAGGGCTTAGCTCTGTGCCATACTGCATGGTTAAGTGTCAAACCTTCCACTAGAAGGGTAAAAGCTTGCTGAACCCTCCTTGATAATGACTTTGAAGTGTTTTTTTTTTTTTTAAATAGCAATGCTTCATAGTGTTATAATCAGGAGTAAACAGATATAGGCACTGCCAGGCCCAGCTCAGGTAAAGGAATAAAGAGACCTTCAACCTGGAAGCCCCTTCCCAGCATTCAACTTTCCTGACAGCATCATCTTGCTAACAGAAGGAAGAATGTGGCATTGGCACAGCTGTACATGAGCATCTGGGCAGAGTGAGGGCAGGGCAAATGTCAGCTTAGGGGTCACAATTCTTCTTTATGGAAGGAACACAGACTCTTGGATAAGACATTTTTTCCTTCTGAAAAGCATCAATTGGTCTTCCTCTATATTCAGACCCTCCCTAAAACAGGTATAAGAATGATACCTCCATTCAATTCCAAGGCAAGGCCACGACCTTAACCTAACTCCCTGTGAGAACACAATTCCTGTAGTTAACCCTCACCTTGCACTTGTTAACACAGCAGATGCTGCCCACATGATCTTTTCACATGAGTCTACTCTAGGGTAGCTGCTTCTAGATAGATCTATAACTCTCATGGGAACCCTGCTGCCTGCTGGAGCACAGTGAGAGCCACAGCTCTTCAGTATGGCTAACAAAATGCCAATGTGACATCAAGTAACTCACAAGGGCAGGGTATTTTAGGGTGGAGAATTATTCCTAGGTGATACGATAAAATAGGGTGTTACAGTTACTGTAAGAAGAATTGAACTTGGGCATTAATAATTTTAACAAAGACGTTAATTAATGATTTGGGAAAAGAGACAAAACCTATAATATGGGACTGTGTAGGTAAAAAAGGCAGGCGTTCCTATTCATGGATCCATTGAGTTCTAGAGAAAACTGAGGCCAGAGGAACTAACTTACTAAGGTTTTAAAGCAAGTAAGTTTCAGAATTTGGAGTAGAAATCAGATTGCCTGATTCCTAAACTAGCACTTTTCTTATCTCTCTCTTGTTCCTACTGCCTTTTAGAGCCAAACTAGCTGTGGAGACTAGGCTGGCAGTTAGTCTGAGACTATCCTCGTGGTGGTGTCTCAAGTGTCGGTGATGGAGTTTGGCTTCCCCCATCCACACATTAACATCAGCTTCCCCTTGCCCAGCAGCTAATGGACAGTGGAGAGCTGGATGGGGAAGAGGTAAATCATCGTTAGGAAGGGCAATCTTTTTCCAAGACGGTGAACACTCAGACTGACTTTTGGAAGACCTATACCACAACTACTTTGGTAGAATTTACCTGTTTTCATGCTTGTCATTACAATAACCCTTACCTTTGTGAAGTTTCTACAGATGATAACCCTTTAACACAGAGTATCTGAGCCAGAGGAGACTGGCCTAACTCAATTTATAAGCGAAGAAAGAAAAATAATTGAGATGAGACTGTATTTAGTGGACTGTTCCTGCTAAAGTAGACAGCATGAAAAGATGCTCTTTCCTAAAGTGACCTCTGAGGCTCTCCCTTCCAGGATAGTAAGAGGGAGTAATGAGCTACCACTTACCTTGCTAGACTCAAACTTGTCGCCAGGTTGGTGGCAGTCGAACCCTGGCATGCCATTGGAGGTAGATATCTTCAACGGTGGCAAAGGTGGATTGTAGCTGGAGCCCTTTGGAGGCTTCTCAGAGCCCACAGGGACAGAGGAGTAGGGCCTGGGGCTGACTTGGGGAACCCTAGCAGGCTGGGACCGAATCACGGCTGTGCTCCGTTCTTTCCGCTGATACTCAATGGGTGACTGTAGTGCTGCAGGAGAAGGGCAGATGGTCACCCTAAGCTTGGGAATATCACAGGGATTCTGGAGGCCTACTAGATACTGGGCTTTGTGTTGGGCATACTGTGGCTATGTGAGGAAGAAATTACCCTTGTTTTTAAGGAATGGTGAGAACCAGGACACCCATCTAAATAATGAAAATAGAAAAAAAAATGGCAACATATTCCAAGTGTAGTTTTGTACAAAAGGAAGGAGAGGCCATCAGGCTCTATATATAGTATGTGTATGTGCAGGTGTTTATGTCTGGAGGCAGAGTGTGGTAATAAACAGCATCAGAAGGGGGCTAGATAACTCTGATGTTTAAGACTCTGCAGAAAGGAAGCAAGTGCAACACATTTGGGGAACAGGCTACAGTCAGATTATCGGGAACCGAGGCCCATGGGTATCCATGGAGAGGGAGGAATGAGACAGATAAGGGAGGCTGGGGGTACATGATAGGGAAGACCTAGAAAGAAAGATGAGACAGATTTAACTCTGATCATGAAAAGAGACTTGATTACATGAACTTTAAGGTTTTAAGTTCAGATTCTGTCATCTTCTTTCATCAGAGCCACATTTCAGGAACACTAACCTTGTAGCAGTTAACAGAGGGCCTGGAAAGGAAGAGACAAAAGGCTTCCTGTCTAATTCAGAAGCCAGGGGATAGTATCAAGCAAAAGGCAGCAGGTCTAATGAGAGGAGGGCTGGGAGAGTGTGCAGGAAGGATAAGACCAAGAGCCTAGCCCAGATGGAAGCAAGCAGTCACAGGAGATGGCTCAGGTTGGAGACTGGAGAATGGTAATCAGTTCAACTTGGACAACAGAACAAACTGATCTGAAGAGAAAGACATGACCTTTGTTTTACTGAGTTTAAGATATCAAAGTTCCAGAGCCTAAGCACTAAAGAGGTACATAGCCAAGAAAATGCCATCCAGATAGAATTCTACAGAATGATCTCCAGGGCTGGCCTGATGATGCCATTTTTATTAGTATTCACTGTAATAACTATTTAAGTGGGTTAACAGCTGGAGCCCCAAGAACTTTCTATTGTAAGGCTATTTCCACAGTGATAGGCGTGCACTTCAATAGGACTCAATACAGTGCTCCTTTCTATTTGAGGTTTCAGGAGGGAAGACTGGCTGAGATGCCTGCCCATATTTCTGTAAGTAAACACCTGGCTCTGGTCTATCACTACGTCCTTGTCTCTTAAGTCTGTCAAAGTACAGTATATAATGGTCCTGCCAGAGCATAGCCCCTACCCCTGGGGAGAAGTCTGTAGGCATTAAATCTTTAGGTAATGATAACCTATCTCAGGAAGAGCTCCGTAATTCACTATGATCAGGAGAAAGGTGTCTTGGAACCACTTAAAGGCCCAAATCATTGACTTTGCCTAAAGAGATGTAGTTTCAAGTAGTAAGCATATTGGAATTATGAAGTAGGCCTTATCAAACAGAATTAATGACTCAATACCTATCATGGAATTGGGGCACTACCTGGTTATATGCAATAATTATGCTGGAGCATTTGAAAATAGTATGCCTTAAGCAGGTTACATAGGAGGCCCACATTCTTTAACCAACCTAAATTTGCTTAACTTAGGTCTTAAGATTAGGAAAACTCCATCTCTGACAAGGTGTACTTTTGGCTAATGGGCTCAGAGTCTTGTGCCTGGTCCTGTTTCTTTCTTTGCTAGGAAGCTCATAGATCACTGTGTGCTCTACAACCAGCAGCTATATTGAAATTCTATGGTGAAAAGCCTAATCTGAAGGCTTACAGATCTGGGTTTAAGTTTTTGTTCTATCATTGTTTCAGTGACCTGGACAAGTTTCTTAACTTCTTTGAGTCTCTTTTTTTTCTCGTCTGAAAACAGTAGGAAGCTAGTACATACTTCTCCATGTTGACATGAGCATTAAATGTGCAAGAAAAAAAAACAGGTAAAATACTTAGTATAGCACCTGGCACAGTCCAAGCACTCAATATATGAGAGCTGTTATTGTTACTTCAGTTGTTTCTGATTTCAACCTTCTGTTCTACTTCATTTTGCTTTGATCCTGAACTGATGAACCTAAAATCTTCATTCCAGTTTAGTATCAGAAATTTTTAATTAAAAGAATCCAATTTAAATGGATACATTTTATATATGTACTTTTTTTTTTTAGACAGGGTCTTGCTATGTAGTTCAGGCTGGCCTTGAATTCACTATGTAGTCCAGGCTGGCCTTGAACTTGCAGTGATCCTCCTGCCTCAGCCCCTTAAGTGCTGGGATTATAGGCCTGCAGCACCACATGCCCAGCATATGTACCTATTTTGCATTAAATCATTACATCAATAAAAGTAGTAACTTCAAGTTGTAAATTTAGAAATCATAGGCCATTATAGAACTTTCCCTGCCATCCCTCAGGGCTGGGGTGGTGTTTAATTTTAGATTTTTAGAATGAAAAAGCGCCCTGGAGACCTAGGGATCTTAGTCTAGTTTAGAACTTAGTCTAGTTTCTCTCACCAACCTTTTCTATAGCCAAGATGTGGGGTACAGAATTGCTTTAACCCCTCATGTATCTTAAAAAATGATGGCATCTTGCTACACAATCCCTCATTCTTTGTTTTTTTGTTTTGCTTTTTGGTACTGGGGATCGAACTCGGGACCTTGCGCTTGCGAGGCCGGCGCCGGAACCACTGAGCTAAATCCCCGGACCCCTTGTTCTTTGTTTTAAAATAAAAATAGTATGTTAAATCCCTGACCATGGAGAAAACTGGAATTGCAGGCTAGGGGGCAATGCTTTTACATGGCACACATCAGGACAGGCAGAGCAGAGCTAGCCCCCAACTCTATAAGCTAAGCCGAGGGAGGCCTAGAGAAACATCACGCCTTGCCCAAGCTCTTCAACCAGAACGTCTGCTCTCCTCACAGCCTTCAAATCTATGCTATATGTACATCATTTGACAGAGTCTAATCCTGGTACTGGTGAGAAGAGGTGACAGATCCAAGGCTGGGGCTGTAAGTACGTGTCCATGTGTGAGTAGCCATGGCCAGGCAAGCGGTGGTGCACACAGAGGTGGTCCTGTGCATGTGCGCAAGTGTGAATGTGAGGCTGGATGGCATGAACGCAGGCATACACAATGGACCTCAGATTATACTGCCAAGAAGAAACAGAACACCTGCAGTGCTCTCATGTATGTGCATGCCTGTGTACGTGGGAGTACATATGTATGGGTCTCAGGATAGGAAGAAGAGTGGCTATACCTGAGGACATCCTGTGTGTGTGTGTGTGTGTGTGTGTGTGAGTGTGTGTGTGTGTGCTATATACACACTCAGGCATATGCTTGCTGAGTCTATAGGCTTACTTCATGACTGGTTCCATGTTGCCTTTACTCCAAGCTCCACCTCTGCTCAAGGGTCTTTTAAGGTCCCTAACAGAAGATCAATGCTAGTTTAAAACTTTACATCTCCTTTCTTCAAGCTGGGCTTGAAGCTGCACTTTACTAGGGAATTCCTTCAGGACACAAAAAGCTACATTCTCCGTGATTTGTTCTGGAAAGTTTGGAGGTATTACTGACATTTAGAGTTAGGAATCACCTTATTTGAAAGGGACAAGGTTAGGCAGTGAGGTGGCTTATCCAGGCTCTTACCCTGTTGGGAGAAGATGGATCTGAATGGATCTGCCAAACTCCCAGCTATCTCTACACAATACTAGAGAGACTGTGAGAATACCAGCCATCAGCCACCAAGTGTCACTGACAGTTGGAGGGGGGCACCTACAGTACGAGGAAGTATCCAGCACAGACTTTTTCCCAAATTGTTGTCAACTATAGTGGCAAATATATGCTATGTTCTACAAAAGAATATCCCTTCATTTAGAAAGGCGGGGCTTCTTTCTCATGCCCTGTCTGGTCCATTTGTGTATTCAGATTCAGGAAAATTCTAATATGTTTGTGAGAATGACAGAGTTGGAGTCCATATAAAATGTGATCTAGGCTCATAATTCCCTGTGAGCTCAGATCCAAGGACACTGACAGGTGTGGGCCCCCCTACTAGAAACCAGGCCTAGCACATACCATTTAAGAAGTCTCGCTGTGTTTCTAGGACTTGATTGATGTCCTGTACCCAGGCCTGCTGGATGTCTGAGTTGGCAGCTTGCAGAATGACCTTCTCAGAAGTCTCCCTGTTCATGAGTGCAAATTTGCAAGGGTCATTGTCCACATTCTCCTCCAAGACCAAGTAATTCATCTGGAAGAAAATGGGGCGATCCTTTAATACTTAAGAGGTTAAAAAAAGCATTAACCTACTATGGTACTTTTCTCAGGAGATCTAAGATAAACACTTCTCCTGGATCCAACACTAAGCACTTTGGCTCTGCCTTTGGTTGAATGGCAGACCCAGGGACACCTGCAGGATCATGCTGGGGACTGGTCCCCCACTCACTACTGCTCATGAGTGATCACTATTTCTCGTTCAGCCTCCTTGATGGCAAGCTGAGAGATCTTTAAGGCTCTAGGTCTTTCAATGATACAACAGCCTGCTGTGGCGCATATGCTGTAGGTTTGCCACCACTGCTCTAGTCCTCCCCACCCAGTGCCTTCTATCTGGGAAGTGGCTTTGAAAACTTGGCTCTTTCTTGCCTCTCCACCTCTCCATGGCATCCTCACCTTGATGCTCCTTTTGAACATGTAGCCCGGGGTGAGGGACCCCTTCCTGAGCAGTTCACTGAAGATTACGATCTGCTCAAAGAGGAACACACGCCTCTCCTTGGTCCGAGACTGCATGCCAGCGTCCAGCTCGATCACATAGAACGTGTCCTGCTGCAGCAGCTTGCCCTGGGCAGTGAGGGTGCCCTGATAGAGACAGGGGCCAGAAGAAGGCCATGAGAAGTGGGAAGCTGGCCAAATGACCTCCCTGCTGGGGACATGGACAGCAGACCTGACACCAAAAGCCTTTGGCTCTAGCAAGACACTGAATTGGGGCCTATCCATTCATTTAGGGTAGACCAGGGCCATCTTCCTGAAAGGGCCCTGGAGAAAGAGGAAAAGAAGGTGATGGAACCTCCAAAGAAAAGCAAACAGCTCTAGGAAAATGTCAGAGGAAAGCAGAATTATTAGCTAAAAAGAAGTCAAGAATCATGCTGGCCCTTTGTGTTTTTTACTAAAAGAAGAAAACAAAGTAGGTGTCCCTTGGAGCTAGAAGAAGCCTTTTTTTTTTTTTTTGGTACTGGGGATTAAACTCAGGACCTTGCACTTGCGAGGCAGCCATGGCACCACTGAACTAAATCCTGGCCTTAGAAGAAGGCTTTGTCCTTGTAGTTCTGAGAGCTGTGCCTGCCTGGCTCCCCTGCAATGTGGGCCTAGGACCCAGGGAACTCCTGTAGTTATGAGCCCAGAACCAACCCACAGCTGAGGGAAGTGACACAGGTAGGACCTCAAATGACCGATGAGTCAGGCCCCCTCTCCTCCTGTTTTTATTTTAGGATGGGGATGCATAGTTTAATGTCTTAGTATCCTGCCGTGGTCAGCAAATAAAGTCAGGAGTACCATAAAAAGGTTCCCCCTATCTTATAAACTGGTAGATATTTCTCTAAGTTCCATGACCCTTCTTGAAATGACTACTGCTACCAGGCCATGTGCCACCCAGCTGAGGTGGTAGAACCTATTGGGTTTGCTAGTTTCTACTGAGATTTTTTCAGAGATATTTTCAAAGGGAATATGCCTAATCCAGTAAGTTCACAGAAGCTATCAGAAAGCCTGGCACTGGAATGAGAAGACCCTGTCATCTGGGACAGCAGTCCGAGATAGCTTTTGTGGGTGATGATTTTTGCCCTTTAGTGCAAACAAGGACCATTTCATTCACGTGATGCTTTTTTCCAAACATTACCTGGCATAGAGGTCATTTTCTTCTGTGTTCCTGAGAAATGCTTGCCTTCTGTTTGGAGCCTACCTCTGTACTGCCAAGGTCAGCAGCCAAACAGGCTTATCTCTACCCTGGTCCAAAGTTAATATTAAGCCAGTGACCCGCTAGCCAGGCAAGTGCTAAAAGCTCTAATTAATGCTACACAAGAACTTGATCATGGGGTACAGGCAGCCAGTGTCAAAGGAAAAGCCAGAGAATTTGAGAGGGAGGGAATTAAAATGAGGGGTTCTAACTTCTCCTGCCCAAAGTCACAAACAAGGCGGAGACATACATTCACCACTCTTCTAAATTAGCTGCAGGAACACAAAGCAAATTCTCTGTGGCTCCATGAAAATAGGAGGCAGTGCTATTTGATTTAAAAAAGAACCGACCCTACATGGACACAAATCGATGCAGCAGGAAGTCTAGTTTGGGTCAGACAGCACTACTGGATGCCACTCCTCCTGTGGGTGGCCAGTTCTCCAGAGACCTGGAGAAAACCAAGCCAGACTCCTATTTGAAAAACACAGACTTTGAGATGGAAGAGCAGAAGAGATTACTTGGTTTGTTCAGAATAGTCTCAGACTTGGCATGATGCCTAGGGAAAAGGTGCAAAAGCACCTCCAGTGTGACTAAAGAGAAACTGCACATGAACTTGGGGTGCATTTTCTCCTCAGTAACCCTCCTTATGCTAACAGCTCGGGTCTGCCTTGAAGAGCAGAACCTGTGAAAACAAATAGTAATAGAAACCCTCCACCCAGTTCCTATCCCAACAGAGCCTGGAAACCAGACACAGTGGATGAGCTGCAAGGGCAAAGAGCACAGGAGGATTTGGCTCAGGAATGTCATGAGTCCAACTCAAACATGAAAATAACATCTGCTAAATGAGCTTATATCGCTAGCCTACCTGGTATCTGTACTCATATTTTATCTATTCTAGCTTAGCGTGGGGTGGGAGAAAGACATTTCTTTCCCAATCATCTCAATTTCAAGGAATCTCTTTTCTCCAAAAAGGAATAATGAAATCTTAAATTATGGAATTGCTGAGAAACAGGATTAGAAGATCCATCTTTCTCTAGGGGAGGTTAGTGACTATTAGGTACCAGTCAATAACTGTCAGTTGTAATTTTTTCCATATTAACATTCAAAATATATTATGCTTAATTTGGACATAAATTAATAATAATAATTTAATAAGTATAAAGTAGGAAGCCAATTTGCTCTTCAAATGTTCACTGTTATGGGTTGAATTGCCTCCCACAACTCATATGTTGGAGCCCTAATCTCCAGTACCCGAGAATGTGGGAGATGCGGTCTGTACAGAGGTAATCAGGTGATGTCTTTATAAATGGACACAGAGATATACAGGCGGAGAGAAGGCAATATGAAGATACAGATGGAATGCCTTGTGCATGGAAAGGCAGCCATCTACCTACAAATGCGAGGTGCTGGAACAACCCTCCCTTCCAGCCCTTGAAAGGAGCATCTCTGATAATTCCTTGATGTCTGCCTTCAGCATGTAGAACTGCAAAGACATATTTCTGCTGTTTAAGTCACCCAATTTAAGGTGTGTTGTTCCTGCAGCCCAAGCAAACCTGGGTGTTTACTTCAGCCACTCCTTAGACTATCTAGTATTTCCTTAAGACTGATTCCCCTCACTCTTTGAGGAACAGAAATGTGTCCTGTGGCATTCACTGGCTTGAACCACCAGTGAAACACGCATGACTCCCATCGGGCACCTTGTACCACTGGTGGCACAAATGGATCTTATCACTTTTATCATTCTCTTTACTATTGGGTAATTTTTTATACCATTTTAATGTTTTCCTTAAGGAACTGGAATATGATGACATCTGGTATGCTAAATCAATGTCTTTCTTTGCCTTATTGTAATCAAACACCCCTGAGAAATGGTATATGGTTCAAGCTGGTGAGAATGGCCAAATTCAAATCACAGCCACTGGTAGCGAGACATAAATTACAGCACCATAGTGAATGTGTTAAATGTTCATTGGTAGAAAAATATAATCACTATAGAGACCTAACAGATCCACTTTCTAAAAACAGTATTCATTTTTCTGCTTAGGTTCCATTTACATCACAAACCCTGTTGTCCTTTATATCCCCACATTTCTCAATCAATAAGCAAGAGGGAAGAGGTCATTTCCAGGTTCAAAGTTATAAAGAACTTGGGTTTTTCCAATCCCCTTGAAATTCTGCCTCCAGTTTGGTCAAGAGGTCTATTTCTGGCCTGTCATTGGATTTTCTGTATAGATACACTTTCCAGGTCTGTAAACCAGAGTATAACAGGGGAGAGGAGGCAGGATCTCATTAGCCTGAGGAAGAGATCTCAGTAGCCCAGATTCCTACTGCCCAGAAGAGAGAGGGCTTCCATCCACCCCTAAGTGCTCACCTCAAAGCCTTGTAGGCGTCCCAGATTCATCATGTCATTGCAACGTTTGGGAACAAGGCACATTAACTCCACTGCTTTCTGCAGAAAAGAACAATAGTTGCTCAGGAAGGGGATCACCACTCAGCCAGAAGCTCATGGCAGTTTAGGGCTGGAAGACAGGGATCTGGCCTCCCAATGGCTTCAGTACTCTGGGAGAGGATGCTGGTCTCTGTGGCCCACACCCAAAGGACTGTGGGACTTCTGTTCAGACAGGGGATGGTGGTCATCAGCTCAGGGCTCCATGTCAATCACTGGACAATGTGGGGGAATGTTACCAGCCCATCCTTTCCAGCACTCTGGTTTTGTTCATCAGTTCCCTTTCCTTCTCATATTTTTTTTCTTCTCTCTGTTGCTTCCTAACTGCACAAACAACAACTTAGCCTGGCTTGTGAAACACTAGAGGTTTTGGCTTAGAATAACCTGCCAAGATGGCTGCAACCTCTCTGGTTTAAAATAATCTTGAAGGTGACAGAAAGGGCTTCACATAGGCTGTAATCCTTATGATGAGTGGGGGAATGAAAATGGAATGCCTTGTACGTTAGAGTCAAATAGTATTTAGATTTATGCATTTGGATCCTTTTGCAACTTTACCTAGTCTCTGAAGGATGTTAAAGGGGTCAAATGACACCACTGCTCACTACATGTCACTTGGAGCCACAAGAACACCAGCAGGGCTTAGGCCCTGGGCTGGCCCAGCACAGACTCTTGAAAACTCTTTGTGCCTATCAACACTTGCCATTCCTCATGCTGCCTCATATGAGAGGAGTCAGCCTGGACCCTTGGTTATCCTGAGACAAATTTTTTCCTTTGGGATAGACACCCTGGATGGTGCCTGGGAACAGTAAGCATTACAAGCAGGAAACTCACCTCAATATCTGTACACTCCAAACCAGCCTTCTCACTGTATCTCAGGAAGTCCTACCAAGGAGGGGAAGCAGGCAGTGGTGAGGGCAGGGGTGAAATCAGTTAGCAAAACAGAGAGCTATAAAAAACTTTTTATCAAAATGCACAGATGTTCCACAGGCTTTCCAGCCCAGGAGGGGTGGTAACGGCCTGTAGCATCTGAAAAATGAACTTATGAGTCCTGGTAGACATGATGACATTGAGAACACCCCCAAATATTCAAAGTTTCAAAAACAGGAGAGAAGGAGGGTGGGAAGGAGGAAGAAAAGGGAGACTGTGGCCAGACAGGATGGGAGAAGGGAAAGTCGAGTCTTTCTTCCATTTAACCTCATATTTCTGTAAGAAAAATTAGGTTAAGCTATTGTTTAAAATGGAATATGACAAAATGTTTGGTATTACTCATTCAAAGTTTCTAGGGCCTTCCATTTGTCTTTTTTTCTCCCTTGTATTCTACTCTGATTTTATGCTCTTACAAGTTTTTAGTTTTTAAGGGTATCAAGTCAATGACTATGACAAAGTAAGAAAATGAAGAGAAAAAAGAAAATCAAGAAAAAACCAATTTAAAGGGTAGAAACAAGAGCGACACAATTTATCAGCAAGGAAAGCTAACAGAATAACCAGCAGATGAGACAAAAAACCCATCTTTACCCTACCAGATCACAGTCCCCAGGACAGAGATGGAGACAGAGCCTGGAACTCCACTGCCCACTACACCTGGCCCAAGGTTATGCTTCTCCAGCCCTGGCCCAGGCCCCTGGCTTCTTACCTTGAGGAGCAACTGGTATTTTGTTATTCTCTGAATGGGCTTGATAAGGAAGTCACTCAGTGTCAGCCTTTGATTTATCTCCTGTTTTACCTCCTAAAACATAAGGGAATTATGTTAGAGTCAAAGAAACCCAAGTATTAGGGTGTTCTAGGTCAAGGTTCAAAGGCATCATGTTTTATAATAAAGTTTAAGAATCTTCAAGGCATGCACAAGGAAGGCTTGTCTACATGACTGCTCATTTGTTAGGAACAAAACACAACACCCATCACCCCGGGCTTCTTCTTGCCTGGCTATCATGCTTCCAGACAAGTACTTTCACATCCTGGGCCTCACCTCAGTTGTGGGAGACAAGCTAGAACAGATCCTATGTTCTCTTTATTGCTCCAGGGCAGTCAGGCAAGGACATCCCATTGGACACAACAGGCCTACACAGCGGGACCCTGCTCCCTAACCACTTAGTTAAGGGATCTTTCCCAGGGGAGATGCCTCCTCTCCAACAAAACAGCACTCTTTCTAAGCTGTGGCAAAGAGCTTAGAGGTGCTGGACCAAACCTCTGAGAACAGAAGCAGAGACAGCAAAGCCACTGTGAACTCCTTAATCAAGAGGAGGGCTCTAGACAAGTAGTCCAGGAAGGGCTGATGAGGAAGGGTATGGGCACAATCTGCTCTGTAATAACTTAGGAAGGACCAGAGCTGCCAAAGCAGACCCTGTGCTACAGAAACATTCTGCAAACGGAGTCCACAGACACGACCCCTTTGGCTCCTTACAAGCAAAGGTGCTCATGGGAACTGAGCTAAGAAGCTAGTGACTCTACTGAGAAGCAGTTCCTGACATGAAGGGTCAGCAGTGTAGGGTGAATGAATGACATCTAGGATTTCTGAATGTACTGTCTTGGGCTACTCCTCTCATCCCTAGCAAATTCTGAGCAGTATACCTCGAAGTAGGCTTCATATTCAGCCACAATGTACTCAGAGCGTGGCTTGTTCTGGCAGTACCACACATAGATGTGCAGCTTCCGTTCCTGCAGAGCAGAAGAGGAGGTGATAGTCAGGCATCTTGTGCCCTTCACTCACGGTCACAGCACTGAGCTGGATCACACATTCAGGGGAGGACCAAAGATGGTCCACACTTGGGAAACACAGAGGCAGTTCAGTAGCAAGGACATAAAGCAAAAGCGGTAGGCCAGGGCCCACTTTCCACATTGCCAAGAAGGTTGTAAAACAAAACAAAACCCCGAAACTCAGGCAGGGAGGCAAGTCCAAGAAGAGCAAAAGAGAAAAAGAATTTTAAAAAATGAACACAGAAGAGCTTGGGGAAGTGGAAGAGAGATGGCTAGGGTGGCACTCACATGTTTAATAAAGAGCTGGGCCAGTCTATCTTGTTCTTGGATACATTTTTCCAGTTCACCCAGGAAGAAGCTAAAAGAAAACAGTGGGTAAGAGAAGGAAGCTATGTTATTTAGAACTGAATTATCTCTCAATGATGAGCTAAATGGCAGGAGACTCCCCTTGAGTCTTGCCCCATAGGTCAGATGCTGGAAGAGGACTCAGGAGTCTCAGGTCCCCAAGATGCCCGCCCTTGGGCCCGACACTTACTCCTTATGCCAGTCATAGATCTGGTGGATATTTCCAAACACAATTTTATCCTTCCCTCGCATATCCTCAGGGACACCCTTCTCCTCTATCCTCTTCATGAAGGCCTGCAGGGTTAGTAGAGGACAATCCTGAGAAAGTGCTCCAGGCCCACCCTCAGCCCCTGTCAGCTGCACTCTCCAAGAGTTTGAGGGTGAGTGCTGCTGTAGCCTCTCCTCCTTCATCAGGACTTGACCCACCTTGGCCAGAGTGACAGAGAAAACATTTACGAAATTTCTGGACACTTTTCTTTGCCTCTAGTTCCCTGAAGGAAGAACTGGGGTGGGAGTATAGCTCAGTGGCAGAGTGCTTGCAGAGCATGCATGAGGTTCTAGGTTTGATCCCCAGCACCACACACACACACACACACACACACACACACACACAGCAATTGTTTGTCCTTCTCCTTTCTCCTAACTCAAGTTAATTATATACTTAAAGACACATCTGCCCTAGAAATAAGTCATAATATGTTAATACTTTAGATTCTGTAGCATGTAATCACATTAGCTTTAAAATCAGGGTTTAAGGTAGCACAAGAAGGCTGCATCCCTATCTGAGCCACTCGGGTGTTACATGACTGTTTTTACAATCACATCACTGATGTCTGACTTCCCAGGATTTCAATCTCTTGGTCCCCAGATGCTCAAGTCCTCTGCTCCAGGGCTGAGCTGCATATGAAGTTATTGACACCCCTTCCTGTCCCCAGCCCCCACTAAAGACAAGAATAACTTTCTATAAGTAGAATTCAGGCCCTCTATATGCCTGGTTAGTTTCTTTCTACAAGGTTCAGGTTAGGCAAATATAAAGCCCTAAGTCAGCAGATTTCATAGAATAAGGGCTTACAAGGCAAATCTTAGAAACAAGCAGACAATGTAGACATTAAGAATTCAATTTCTAGATTTCATATTCTTTATGAAGATTAAAAATAGGGCTGTAAACCATCTAAATTACCACTTAGTTTCTTAGGTATTTTCATCCAAGTGTCTCAGTCCCTTGAAAGTGAATCCCTGTAGGGACACAGCTGTTATATTTCCTACCAAGTCGACTCTTACCTATGGACCTGTCAATCTTGCTTACTGATGGCTATTTCTTTAACTATCTTCTTGGTACCCATAACCTTCTCCTTAAAATCTAAGAAAATGTGTTAGGTCCCAAGATTAGACTCAGAGTGACCTGGCTTGTGTTAATGGTGGTCATAAGTCTGAACTGTGTATGTCTTCGTGAAACAACCAATAGCCTAAGACAATGGATTCAGCTCTAACCAAGAGTCTTCCCTGAATGCTGTCACATTTGGGACCATACCACTTTCTATCTTACAATATTTTAAGGGAAAAGAAAATCATCTACATATTCTATTTGAATTGTACCATTTTTATTTTCATTATTGCAAATACCCAGGCAGAGTAGGATTTGATCTGCTCCTGGATGGGTGAGCAACAGCTACCCTGCTCCATCTACTCACCTCCACCACAATTCCCAGGTCCTTGACATAGTCTTTCTCTGTCTGTACCAGCTCATTCAGGACAAACCTGGGCAAGGGATAAAGGACAATGAGGGCTCCTCTTCGTTGTTAAGGACAAGTCTTCACATCTGAGCCCAAAGGAAGTTACTTAGGTACCTTACGATAAGGCCACCAAAAATACCACCCTCAACACCACAGAAAGGTGATCAGTGCTATCTCGATAGGAACCCCCAATGAGGAGCTGAGTCCAGAAAGGACTTTGCCCAGGGAACACATAACAGTCAGAAGGATGTCACTCACTGCCTTGTAATCCTCTTTCTACCCTATGTGTCTCTGTCCCTGAACAATTGTATAGACACAGGGTAGAAAGAATAATGACTTGAGGCCAAGGGATCATCATGAGACTTTTATTCCTTCATCTCAGCTCCATTCTTCACCAAGAAGAGGACAAAAGCTTTTCTGTTTTTTGAGACAGGGTCTCACTATGTAATTTAGGCTCTCCTCGAACTTACTATGTAGCCCAGGCTGGCATCGAACTCAGTGCACTCCTCGTACCTCAGCCTCCTGGGTTCTGCACCACCACACCTGGCTAGAAAAGCATTTGTTTGACAGCTAGCCTGTAAAGCACCAAAGATTTGGATATCACAGAGATGGAGTGAAGCTTTTACCATATAGAAGCTACAGTTACTCAGATATGTATCCAAGGTAACCGCCCTGGAAGATCCCCAGCCAAGGCCAGAAAGGCTGACCTCAGACATTCTACAGTCACAACTTTGAAAGCAGCACTGCCTGCCCCAGAAAGTGGGACTGAACGACAAGGTCATTAGCTTTCTTGGCCTCTGTTAATTATTTCTACCTCTTAGAGCATTTACCATTGTCAGTTACTCATCTGGGTTTTCCCATGCTTATAGGATCCTTATAACAAGGTAGCTATTGTAAAGGCCTACTTTATCTAATGGAAAATATTCAGAAGGAAAGGTTATGTACCTTGCCCAAGGTTACAAATGCCAAACGGAGGCAGGATTTGAACCTTGTTGCTAAGGGTGCAAACAATGAGGCCTTTCACTGTAGCCCACTGCCTGGTAAGCAGCTCTGTCTGGCTCTCTGGAGTTCCCAAAGTCTCAACCCCAAACACTCTTTCTCCTATCTAGACAGCCAAGGGTTCTATAGAAAATGTTCATGGTTGTGGAGGACAGGAGAATGCTGTGCAGCCTACTGGAATCTGACTCTTACTATCCAATTTGAAAGGGTTTTTCCTGGAGCCACGTAAGCACATTTTTGGCCCCAGTGGTAAAGAGGGTAAAGCTCTGAAATATTGAAGATGGGCCTTGGTGCAGGGATTGTAACTGTCTGAACCCAGGAAGCAATTTGTCTGAAATTCTTGCTCTGTACAGCACTGAGAAGCTGTTAAATCCCTGGGGTCTGGGGCCTTGGGACACTGGGGAGGAAGCAAAGGAACACGTGTTCCTTTATCAGCGTGCCCTGCACTTCCGACCAGCTCCCTCTCTCCAACACAGATAATCATGTGTTTCAGGCCACAGGAAGAAACTGGCAAGGCCAAATAGAAGCATTTCAATATATCTTTAACATGTTTCCAGTTACTGCTTGGAAGATTGTGGTAAAATAAAGCCCACAGGAAAATGAGAGTGGGAATTTGGGCTGGGAGGGTCCTCTGGAGATGAATCCAGGGCTGTCCCCAGATGATATTTTTATCCTCAGCTATTTGCTGACTGATGGGCTGTCCAGGCTTTGCAGCCTCTAGGGAAGGGGACTGCTCAGTGCTGCCTGGGGACCCTGCAGCTTTTCCCTTGCAGGGCTGATGACGTACCTGGGAAGATTGGGACAGACTGAAGTTACAGCAAAGATTTAAATTATATGCACCTCCAGGCAGTACAAGATTGTCAAATGAAGTGATGAAGTAATTATTTTTTATGTCTAATTCTTATCAGTAAAAGTTACTTACAAGTAGATATTCTTTCATCCAACTGAAATTCTTCCAGCTACAAGTTGGGCCCACTACTAACCTCTCTTTTTCACAGGAGCAGGAAAAGGCTGGTATTCCACAGGAAATCCTTAGAGACACAGCACTGATTCTGCCCCTGCTGAGAATACTTTTCCTCATCACTAATTCCTTCCCTTCTCTTGGTCTCTGTGCAGATGCCAGAACTGTTTAAAACTACAGCATGGCTGTATCCACACTCGCAATCTCCCATAGGCTGCTCTATTTTTTTCTTTTTCCAGCTCTCAAGATATCACTTAACTTATTTTGTCTGTCTGATTTCTCCTATTAGAAATGTAAACCTGCTACCAAGGTGAAGACTATTTATTATTGTTATTGTTTCTCTTTTTCACTGATACATCTCACTAGCAGGACATAATAGGTGTCCAACAAACACTTGTTGAATGAATGACTGACTACTGCCAAAAGACAAATAAGTCCATTCTCAAAGTTTTTTCTTCTTCTGGACAAATACTATTTGTACCTCTTTTCCATGGAACTGTCATTTAACCCTCTGTGTCCTGTTACCATCTTCTGTGTTGAGTCTTGGTTCACTACATCCCTCACATGGCCATAAAGGACAGCAGGAAACAGGGCTGATACCCAGTAAGAGGAATGAGCCATTCCAAGCTTTTCAGGAGAGCTCATGTGGAGAAGTGTGGAGAATGAGATGAGGAAAATGAGAAAATATCATGTTTAATAAACAATGTCTTAAATATTGCTCGTAGCTTCCATCAACCTAAGGGACAAGAGTAGTGACTGGCTTTACAAGGATCACCTGCCACCTCATGGTCACTTCCCTGATAGAAGCTTTCACTGCCCTCACTTAAGCCTTGCTTTGACTTGACAAAGGACTGGGACATTAGTTCTGATTCCATCTCCCCAGTGTAACAGGTGTCTGAGGATCTGAGCAGGGTCAGTGCAAGTCCTAGGAAATTTCCCTCTGGGGATAGTATTTTTCAACCTCTATCCATTCACCAACTTCTTGGGGTTCCACCTGAGCATCTGTGAGGTTGTGGAGATAAATGTGGAATTACAGTTTCTACGCTACTTGTTCTTCTCCACTACAAGGTGACAGCTCTGCTTTGATACCAGGTTTTTGCTACAAACTTTTCTATTTTTGCTTCCTAGGAAACAAAGTCCTAAATGTTCGCTTTGCATATTTCCCAGCAACAGAAGGACTTGGCCTCACTTATTTTGGCTAATTTTTATGTTTGTGGCCTAGCTAAAGAGTGATGAATTTGAGGGAGAAGGGCAGACTAACGGCAGGGAGGGACCTTCCACATTTGCCTACCCTATTCTTGATGCTGCTTACAAACTCATATGTTGAGCTATGTCTAGGATTCATTGGTAGCTTGCTTCCAGCAGAGTCAAACCCTGAACAAGAAAACTGAACGTCTAGAGGAGTTAGGTTCTATGTCAGTGGCACCCAGTATCTTCTCCATCATTACCACAAGACTGACTTTATATGAAGGTACACAGCGCAAACCTTTTTTTTTGGTACCAGGGATCGAACTCAGGACCTTGCACTTGCAAGGCAGGCGGTGGAACCACTGAGCTAAATCCCTGGCCACAACACAAACCTTGCACAGCACATGGGTCCTTGTGAAATGGACTGCAGTGCGAACTGTCTTACATTAGCCATTTGAGGTGGAGAGGAGGATCTCGTGAACTAAACCCACAAATGGATGCTGAATTGAAACCCATGGAGAAGGGATGGACATTGGCCCTGCCTTGTGGCACAACAGCTCCCTCTTCCTATGTGTCACTTGCCTACTTTTGGGGAAACATGACTTTAGGTGACTTCCATCAGACTTTTGCAGTGACCAGGTATTCTCTGGTTCTACAGATCCATCTCATAGTTTCCTGAGTTCTGTTGTTTTCCTCTCATCAGCATGTTTTAAATTTCTGTCATATGTGGGTTATGGCCATATTTTATCAATAACAGCTCTTATCTCACAGAATATAGGTCAGCTTAAACTCCAAGTCAGTGCCAAAGTAGCTCAGTGTCATTGCTATGTACGTATGTGGTCACCTTCCCTTAGGGTGAGATCAAATGGGTGTATGGAATGGGAATCCTTATCTCATTTCCCCCCAAGCTTTGCCCACTGTCCACCACATGTGTACATACAGGGTGAGAAGGGGGAGTACTTACATCCTGCCTCTCAGGGCCTTGGCTTTCTGTTCTTCTTCCAGGTTTCTAGGAGGTGTAGGCGGGGTCATCCCCTCATTCAGGCAGCCTGTGGGGTCTTTTAGACTCCCTCGGTAGGAGCCTCCTTCTAGAGTCTAAAAAGAGAAGAATGAATAGCTTCAGAAAAGTGTACACTGGAAAGTCACTTGGAAGCCCTATGTCCCCCTCAGGCCAGCCACAGACAACTTGGGAGGTCAGCAGCCCAAGCTGCTCTCACTGAACCAGAGTGAAGCATTAGGAGACTTTCATCCCCCTGCATGGATCCCTGAGATGCTGCCTTCTTAGGCAACAGGATATACTTTGCATCAATGCTGCCAACTTCCCAGACATAATGAAATGGTCAAAGCAATTTATCTCTGGCTAAGGGCTCCAGAGGGAAAGCTAATCATTGCAACTCTACACCAAATAAGGAGTTAGAAAAGATAATCAGTTGCAGGACCATCAAATGCAAATTGATAAGGGGAAGGTAGTGATAGAATAACTTTGGCAAAATGGTGTTTTGTTAAATCAGCTACAATTTCTTTGAAGAGGACAATGAGATAGAGACAAGAAACAGTCAATATGTGAAATCACAATGGACACTATAGACTGTTTCTTATCTCTATCTCATTGTCTTCTTTAAAGGAATTGTAGCTGATTTAACAAAACACGATTTTACTAAAGTAGGTCTATCACTACCTTCCCCTTATCAATTTGCATTTGATGGTACTACAGCTGAGACAGGGGAAGGGATACAAAAAGGAATTAAGATGTGTTATGTATCTGCACCAACTGCATATACAGCATGTAAAAATTTTGTATTACACACAACTACAAAATGGGGAGATTGGGCATGGTGGTACATGCCTGTAACCCCAGCACTTGGGAGGTTGAAGCAGGAAGATCCCTGTGAGTTTGAGGGCAGCTGTGCTTCATAGTGAGTTCAAGGCCAGCCTAAACTACACACAAGACCCTGTCTTAAAAAAAAAAAAGGAATCAAGAGATGGATGGAGGGGATAGAAGGGAAGAAAAAGAGGATGATGATGGAATTAAGATGTGTTATGTACAATTTCCAACTCCTCACAAAGGATGTAGGCATTATATACTACAAACATGTACTAACAAAAAAGGAAAGAAAAAAGAAATAGTCAATAGATTTAACCTTTCCTAAAAACATCTTTGCCAAGGTGCTAAGGTTATTTATCAATGTTTGTTAATTCTTCTCATTTCTTTTGAATAAGGTGTTATAGGACAGACAAAAAACATTAAATGTCTTAATATGATACTTTAGAAGGAGCTAAAGGTAAAGGAACCTAAACTTGTATCTCAGATGATCTTACATGAGAGCTAAAATTATATTCCATGCTTCAGTTTTTCTTAATTTTCAAATCAGATCTTTCTTCTCTTAGAGATTCTAAGTAATAGAGACAACAGTTGTACAGCCTCTTTGAGAAACAAAAATGCTCTATAATGGTGACTTGCTTTCCTCATGGATGGACTGGTCACAATAAGGATACTCAAAATGAGGCCAACCTAATACTTTCACAAATGCCCTGGGAGGAGTATTACAGTGATACTTATCATTGGATTAAGTGAACTGGCAGAAGCAGTGTGGATAAACAGTAAGACTAAAGATCAAAGTGAAGGGGGGCAACTGTGAATCAGATAGGGGAGACTATATTAAACTACCCAAGATGCCTGTCTATGCCAGTCACAGTGACTAAAAGGAAAGGTTTCACTTAGTAGTCACTTAGTAGTCTTAAAAGCATTAGCCCTAGGGTTCAAGTCACAGAGATCAAAAAGTAGTAGTGGGCACAAAAGGCTTCAGTCTGGTCTTTAATAATTTGCACATGGCAATCTCTGTCACAAACTCTTAGCTGCTATATTTCAACATAGGCCAAACAGAGATAGAAGAGAAGAGTCTAAGCAAATGAGGTGCCTAATAGGCCATTATATGAGAAAAGATGGAGACTATTAGGAGTTCAATCTGAAAAACTTAATGTTGAAGATATATCAACCTTCTCCCCAGCCCCTAAACAGAAACAATATGCCAAGGAGTAAACATGAATTTGTCACCAACACTAGAAATTAGAATTAAAAACAACAAGGTCTTCCAGCTTGAAAGAATTTCTTTCCCTTGACATAGAGGTATTTACAGAACAAGTAATCAGCCATGGAAGTTGTTACATCCACAGCAGCAGTATAGGCTAAAAATAAAGAAAGGTTGAGAAGGGTTTAGCTACATTTATAGATACAGGATCTGTAGCCTGTTATTAAGAAAATTAGAGTGTCTGGTGCTGAGGCTTGACAAGCTGGCGGACAGATAGGCTTTCCAGTGACAGGTTCCCTGGGGCCAACACCAGAGACAGGCTCCCCAGGCAGAGGGACCCAGCTGGTGGTGGATGTGATTAGTGCCTTTTACTTCCCCTCCTTTTCCTCACTGTCTTGTTGCTGCCTTTCTTCTGTGGCCTGTGTGTGAGTGTGTGTGTGTGTGTGTGTGTGTGTGTGTGTGTGTGTGTGACTACTGGCGGGCCCAGGAAGCAGGCCAACTCTATGCCTATGGGATGCTCCCATGGCACATGCAGCTTGGCGTCTACTCTCAATCCATCTACAAAATGAAGAACATCTGAGGAGTCCAAAGTGCCACAGAGGGAAATCTGTTCTACCTCCTCCTGCTTGACAAGCAAAGAAGCCCTAATTGTCTGTGGAGGAGGGCCCCCTGGGATGGAACTACAAAGGTGACTCAATGAGAGGAAGAAGATGGAAATAAAGTGTTTGACCGAGCTGTATGCTGGGTGATCTGCGTTGGATGATGGCATTGGCTGAAATGCTTGTAGCAATTCAAGATGATTCTCTCTGAGAACCTTGATACCATTCGAGGGCTGAACACTGGGCTCCACCTATGGATAATAGGGGTAACCTGCAGTTGTGGTGTTGTTTCTGGGAGGAAAGAGGCAGTGGTAGCCAGTTTTCTGTCCCATGTGGGGTTCAGGGCTACAACGGTCTCAGTAGACAAAAAAAGAAAAGGTGCATGAGGGGTGAGCAACAAAAGTTCCTATTTTTGGTCCAAGGTCAGGGAACAGAAAGGCAAATAGGATTTAAATAGGTGGCTAAGTGTGAAGGAATGCCACCCTCATGTTAAAATGAACACATTTCCTAGTCACTGGGTCTTGAATGCATTCATAAAATGCTCTTCCCAGGGGCCCCTATTGGCACACTGTAATAATCAATATTACAGATGGTGTTTGTAATAATATTATATCCAGTTCCAAAATATGCCACATGCCATTCACAGTATTCATTACACAGTATTGTAATGGATCACTTATTTGTATTCAAACAAATTTTTATAGAGCATGTAGTACTTGCTGAGTATTTGCAAAGTGCTAGAAAAATGAGGATGATGAGTAAGACATGCTCCCTGCCTTCTGTACATAGGTGGCTATCTAGACAGAAGGGAAGCCATACACAGGAACAGGCGGCTCTGCGGTGGGGTGGAACAGCAGGCAAGGACTTAATGGAGAAGGCAAAACTTGAACTGAGTACAACTGTCCCTTGGATCCTGAGGGACTGGTTCCAGGATCATTGTGGTAGATACCACAATTCAGGAATGTTCAAGTCCCTTATGATAAAATGGTGTAGGACTTGCATATAACCTACATCTTCCTACAGACTTAAAATCAGGTCCAGACTACCTATAATACCTAATACATGGCCAGGGGTGGTGGCAAATGCCTGTAATACCAGCACTTGGGAGGCTGAGGCAGGAGTATTGCTATGAGTTTGAGAGCAGACTGGGCTACATAGTAAGTTCAAGGCCAGCCTGAACAAGGCCAGTGAGACCCTGTCTCAAAAAAATAAAAACCCAACAAAATAAATAAATAAACTAATAAAATATACATGTCATGTAAATAGTAGTTATACGGTATTATTTTTAGTAAGTACAAGAAAAAGTCTGTTCAATACCGACACAATTTTCTTCCTAAATATTTTTAATCTGTAGTTGATTGAGCCTGTAGATGTGGAACTCCTGGATATAAAGGTTATTCCATGAAAAGATTTTATTGACTACAGTAAGGGCGGCATGTTTCGGGCAGGAACAGCACTGTGAGTGAAGGTCACTGAATGAAGGTCACAGGGTGAAATCATGTGGCACAGCCTGGGAAGCTGAAGGCCTGGTGTAGGCAGAACAGAGGGGATCTGAGAAGGTCACTGGCAGGTGACTGTGTGTTATGTAAGCTGGGTGAGTGAGAGCTAGAGAAGGAAGAGGTAAGGAGTGAAAACAGAATCCTGGAGGAGTATGCAGAGATCAGATCATGAGGAGCCTTGTACACAGCATTAAGAAGGAGAGACATTATTTACCTTCGGAGACCACTGACGGATAGAAGGGTTTTAAGCTGGACAGTAACATATTTGTATTTAAATTTTAGAAAGAGCAATCTTTATGTTCCAAAGAGCTTTTCATGATTTGGGAAAATCTCCCTGATAGAACAACAAAGGAAAAGAGGACTTAAATTTTAAATGTTCTATGATTACATTATTCGTGAAAGAAAATACATCAAAATTCAACACTGAGTATGTCTAAATGCTGATGATTTATGTTTATGCTCTTGTCATTTTCTCAATTTTTCTTGAATGAGCATATATTGCTTTTACTAGAAAAGAACTATTAAATTTTTAAAAGAGGGTAGGGCGGGGAGAAAAATCTCTCTGGTAGTCAGTAGAGTGAATTCTGGGAAGAAACAGTTGCCGACAGTTCAGGCAGGAGATTTTAAGCATTAATCTTAGCTTGTGAATTCTGTGTAAGGAAGGACCCATGCTTGATCTCAAAGCTGGATGCTGAGTAGGACCCCAGGAATTGAGTATGGTATGGAATTCCTGGGGAGAGATCAAGGCTTGTCTGATGGGTAACAAGGAGTTCCGCACCACTCAGCACACTAATCAGTCATTTTTTAACTCTCCTCTTTTATAAACATTTCTACACTACTTGCTTAGGATGGCTATTACATATTGAAACAATGAAAGAGAAAGCAAGAACAAGCGCTAGTAAGGGTGTGGAGTAAAATAAACTCTTCTATACTATTGATAGGAAGGAAGATTGGTGCATAGTCATGAT